CGTTCCTGTGACAGAATGCTTAACAGCAATGCAAATATCGTTCAAATATCCATAGCCACTACACACCATAAACCCGAAGGCGATAAATCCGTAAACACGTTCAATGGCAAGACACCCACACACACACACACCCTGCAGCCAATATATGGCTACATAGCTCGCTCTGAACCTGACTTGTACGAACCCTGAAGCAAGCCAAGATTGAAGCTCCGCTAAGCAAGGGGGCAGTCACTCCCGTTCAGGGTTGGTGCTGAAGGGGCAACTTCCCTCGTCCAGTATCTTCGCATTTGGGATCGAATAAGGCCGTTGGCCACCAGCTGCGATGGGGGCGAAAAGGGAGTTTCAAACAGTAAGGCTCCGAAAACAAACCGTGGATACTATGTACGGTGGGATCATTGCTTGAAGGGCCCCAAGAGCCTAATTGCTAGGATCCGTACTTGAAGTGCCCTGATGCAAGCCCCATAAGTCTTGAGGTCCTCATCATTCGAAGGGCGTTAAGCAAGGCTCCCAAGATGGGCCCTAATTTAAAGCAAGCCCTATACATTCCGAAAATTCCCGAAAATTAGGGGATCCGAATTATTGCAATTTCCCTAACTTAAAGCAAGCCCTACATTCCCGAAAATCAGGGGATCCGAACTATATGGCAAGGGCCCGGAACAAGGAGGCAACTCCCAGGATCCCCCTGATGGGCAGTGGCTGCTTGCCTGCTCTTCTTGCGCCTGCCTGCGCGGGGCTCTACCCAGACTTTTCGGCAAAATTGTTTTCCGGTTTTCTGTGATCAGCTGCTATCGCGGCACCCGGATGGCTTGGCAAGAGGCCGAGAGAGCTTCACATCCGCTTACATTGAGATCGCCAGCCACATGACTGGAAAGCATATCCTAGTCCACAATATGCCACAATCCCGCGTTCTGAACTGCCAGGCTTTTTTGGCAAGGGCTCTCATGCACAGCACCGTCAAATCTAAGTGCTAGAACCCGGCAGCCGAGCCTATGGAGGTGCAGCCCCACCGAAGCGGCCTCGGACTGCCCACAGCTTTTCGCTTGCAGCGTCTGACTCTGCTGAAGGTCATCATCCTACTGAGGGACAAAAATTTCCTCGATGTACCATAGTTGTTTATGGCACGTACGATGATGCAAGTTAAGCTCGAACAAGCGTTGAGTCACATGGCTGCTCTACCGGAGCGCTTTCTAGACCGACATTTCGGAGACCTTACGCACTGGGAAGCGAAGCTACCGCTTCCAACTAGCTCTGGATGTAGAATAGGGTTTTGGGAGATATGTTCTGGTTTACTCATAACAGGGCACCCGAAAACCAGTATTCGTAACTGTCCAGGCACCTAGATTGTGCTTGTTGCCTCATGACAGATATCGATATGGGGTTCCGCCAAGTACGGGGCTCAATGGCAATTCTCTCCTTTTGGCCAGCAAGATCAATACTCTTTATGCTACCATGGACTGTGGTATGCAAAACCCTAAACCCTAAACCCTTAAACATGCATGAGCATAGGCCCGTTGGGGTGGACGCTTCGGCATGGCAACGAGCTGAGCGCCGAGGCGGAAAAGCTCCAGTCCATCGCATCTGCCTTCCCAGCTCAGGCTTCCACGTTTTAAGGACCTCTCTTTAGGGGTTCATCTAGGGTTTAGGGTTTAGGGTCATGTCAAAGCTAAGGGTGCCTTATGTCAGAGGCTCTCATGACCAGGGCCCAGGAATTATTTCCTAACAGATGCTTCTTTCGACTCGCACACTCGCACAAGGCAGGCACGGATCCATGAGTTGGCATGGCTAATGTGACCATAACTGGGTTGTAGTTCCCGGGCCCTTGGAAAGTGTTTATGAATAGGTACCTCTATAGGAACCATAAGGGTAATTAGCAAGCTTCCCGAAGAGTGCCACCCAGATAAGGTGAATTGATGTCAATATGCCGAACTGCCACTTATGGCCGGCTCCAGGGATCTTCCATCCTAGGATTGCAGCAATCTACAGGAGCCGCAAGCATGCCCCGAGACAAGGGTGCAATCTTCTATCCTGAATCTAGGGAATCTAAGCCCTAGCCCGCACCCGAAACCTGCAATGTCAGAATCCCGTACCAACGTACTCCAGTATTGAATCGAATCCCCACACCCCCAACTGCACGACCCATACCCTAGGCCGAAAATATTGAAACCCGAAACCCTCAACCCGGTCCGCTTTCCGGGTCCCAGGCCCCGGATGTGGAGGTTAGCTGCCGATCCGCCTGAAATCGTAAGCCTGCGATCGGGAGTGTTTGAGGGTTGCCCCTCATGGGGTAAGACTGCCCAACGCTACTTGAGTCAGGATTGTGGTGCTCCGGGAAGTGGTGACCCAAACAAGCAACATCCACAAACCTGAAGGCCCTTGCAGGCCAAAGCCTGACATCCCAGGACGCAAGGCCTAAACCAGCTTTAGACGAAACCCTGAACCATCTTGGTTCGCCGGAACCTCTAGCCTTAGGAAGGGTTCTGAAGTTTGGTGTTTTGGCTTCACAGGGTTGCAGCAATCGCTCTCGGGCAAGAGGCGAGGTTCCAAATACTTGCGGGCTTGGAGGTCCGTTGGATCCCGCGGTACCTCCTATTCAGGCTGGAGAGAGGACTATATAGGGGTCTTGTAACTAGGACCTTGATAATTTTGATTGACTTGGTTGGGTTTGCGGGGTATATCATGGCAGGAGTATACTCAGGAACCCTAAGACTTAATGTCCTTCATTGATTCGGGCAGCTGTATTCTACTATTTTGCAAAGGAGCCCAAGGAGGAAAACAACAACAAAAAACAAAAGCTGGCCCCTAGAACACACTGTGCATAATAATTTATGGCCTGCCTCACCTGCAAAAAAAGGGTCCCCAAATCCTAAACCCTAAACCGTTTAGGGTTTAGGGTTCTTCGATGAAGCCCCGACCGGCAGTGCACGTCCTCGGGCCCTCAGTCCTAAATAGGATAGGGGCCTTAATAATCAGAATAGGGTTCTGGGGTCCTTTCAAAACTAGTATAGGTAATTATTGAAGACCCTATAGTGCGGTTTAGGGTTTAGGGTCTGTGGGGTTTAAGGTTCGAGGGTGTAGGGCCCATGAGGTTTAGGGTGTCAAGGTTTGGAGTTTAGGGTTTAGGAACACCAAATCCGGTGCTCTACGGTCCTCAACCTCAAGAGCCAAAACTGTGAAACTCTAAACATCTCTACAAGCTGAACCTCACCACTTTAAGCCCTAAACCCTGAAGTGTACCATAAAAACCCGAGAAGATTCCTAATGTCAATCCTGTCCTTCAGAGCAGGGACGGATGTGAACAACTGAAACTAGCAGGGCTAGGGCCCGGTTCAGATTCTTAGGAGTTTAGGGTTTAGGGTTTAGGGGTTGGGTTTGGGGGTTTAGGGGTTGGGTTTAGGGGTTTAGGGTTTAGGGTTTAGGGTGGTTAAGATTCTTAGGAGTTAGGATTAGGGGGGGCCCTTGGGGATATAGACCCTCTCAGTAAGGTCCCTTTTTTAAGAGAGCCGTAAGTAGGATTAAGAAGGGTCCCCTTTAGGGTCTCACAAATGCTACCTACTTGTAGGAAAGATAAAGCAGACCTCGGGAGGCACTTAGACTAGGATTTGGCCGCAGGGCCCGATATACTATGAATACCAGTTTAAGGTGTAGTGTTTCGGCGCTCAGCGGACAAGCCAGGCGGGGTTGAGGATTTTTTGCTGGATCTTGCTATGAATACATAGGGAACTCGGCGGAATAGTATTGTTATATAAAAAACCATGGCCCTGTTTAAGGCACATCACCCTCTGAGCCCAGCAAGTCTTTTCCTCCACGAGGGGCGTGCAGCAAGCATGCGGCTTGCGCCTAAACGCAACGACCGACCCGTGCATGGTCTGGATACTCGGCGACATTCCGCCACAGTCGTGGGTGCCAACACCTAAGTAGGGACATCTAGGTACCTAAGGGCTTGCAACATGCAGTTTAAGGCAGGCATTTACCACGATGCTTGGCACCCAAGGCTGTACAGTCTCAGCACGACGGTAGTCGACAAGGCCGAGCACTTGCTCTGCAATCGGACGGCCCCTCGTGTCTCGCGGGGGCGCCGGTGCTTGAAACTTAGGGTGACAGGGTCACCCTGGGTGATAAGGTCACCCTTCGCATCCAGCTTTCCCAGACAGGGAGGCTGCAGGAGCAACCAACCCCCAAAACGAACAGCAACTTGCCCTGCAACCCTATGGCCCCTATACCATCCCAGGCCCTAGGTTAAGTAATTGGGGCCGAAACTAAGCCCTAAACCCTATGTGAAGAAGTCCTAAAGCTACTGCGCGCTGCGTGCAGACGCAACGCGCCGATGATCTCTCGCTTCCAGAACCTCCGAGACAATCAGCGCCTCGTCAATCTCTCGTCCAAAGAGCCTGCATCCTTGGCTTGGAGCTGATATACCCTAAACCCTACACTCTAAACCTTATAAACCCTAAGCCCTAAACCCTAAAAACCCTAAACCCTGAACCTATAGGGGCCTTGAGTCGAAATAGGGTTCCTTTAAGGGCCGTCTCCAAGCACCCAGGGATGCATTCTCGGGCTTGGTGGGCTCTACGGCGGTTCGTGGCCCTGCCACTCCCTTGCCGTGCCGCCTCACCCGGCTTGTGCTTAGATCACCATGTGGGAATGTGAATTTATAAAGGACCCTTTAGAAAGGCATCCCGGATCCCCAGATGAAGCCCCCAAGCGTCAACCTTGTCCAGCCCGATGCCTCGGGCCCTACGCGTTTGCTCCCTTGCTGTCCATGGGCATACCTCTGCATCTGCCCCACCCCCGAGGTCCTAAGCGTCCTTCCGAACCCGACGTTCATAAATCCCGAAGCCTAAACCCTGAGGCTGCAGCCGAGCAGCTGCGAACGCACCCCAGCACTACCCGCGAAGCAGCCTCCCTTCGTCGTCTCGCTGCCGCACGGCGTGCTTCCAGTATTTGGTTTCGGCCCCACACACAGGCCCAAGCAAAGCCAGTGAAGAACATGAACAAGAAGCCTGGTTTGGGGTTTGCGGTTTGATGTTTCACTGGCGTGGCAGTGTCTGATTGTCACTTTGTGGTTGCGCTCCAGTCGCAAATATGCCCTGGAACGCTCAACCTAAATTGGCAAGACTTCCGACGAGATTGACGCATCAACACCGCACGAACTCAAACCAACACAAACATGCACCCGGAAGAAACAACTGATCCCAAAACTCTAACAGAAGCCGTGCGAAGCAACATCAAAACGCCACGAACCCAACAACAAGTGTACAGGTTGGCACTGTGTCTGCAGCTGTATACGCGGAAGGACGGGATCATTTACACGAGGAAGCCTGAGAGAGAACCCCCCCTAGCCGTCACAGACCCTGTACCGAGTGCCTTGTTCAGTCCTGGATCCACAGCGCTGCGCTGCACCCTACACCACACCTGACCCTAGACCACAAGCCCTAACCCTGCCTATCCCTGAACCCTGCACCCTGAAACCCTCTTCCCTCAACTCTCTCTAAACCCTCATTCCCTACATTCTCGCACCCAATATAGTGGCCCTAGCAATCGGAATAGGGTTTCGGGGTGTCGTACTGTATAACTAAATTCGAGACTACCTGCAAATACTGCGACGACGAAGACGACGACTACTACGACTACTACCCGCACCAGCACAGGCACCGGCACCAGCACCAGCACCAACACGACTAACTACTACTGACTGTAGCTACTACGACTACGACGGCGACTACTACTACTACTACTACTACTACTACTACTACTACTACTACTACTTTCCCGACCCCTCGAAACCCCCTGGCTGCAGCCAATGTGGCTCAAGCCAAGGAGGCCGAGCCCAAGCCAGAGCAGTCCATGAAGGATCCTTTTTCCATCGGACGATCGGGAAGAAAAAGAGCTGGGGATGTGTTTCTTAGGAACCCTTAAGCCATGGCCAAAACCACCAATTATAAAAAAACAAAAACAAAAAACAAAACGTAAAGATTGGAGATTCAAGTGTACTAAAGAATCAAAGAAAACATGGTGCTTTGTCTCCTGCATTGCTGAACGACTCGCCAAAAAGGCACTTTCCAGAAATCAATTGGGGGTTTAGGATTTACGGCTGTCGGGCTCGATTGGCTTAGGGCAGTTTTCCCACCCGCCCAGCTGACGATGTTGAAGGGCTTTAGGGTGTTGATGTTGAAAGACTAGGGCTTGCATGGCTTAAACTAGGCTTGTGGCGAAAACTCTGGGTTGTAGATGAAGGGCCCTCAACGGTCTTCGATGAGGGATAGCAAACAGTCCCAAAGTACCCCAGAAGTTTACCCAAGGGCTCCTATGTAGTTCCTGTTTGGATAGTATATTTAATTCCTTACCCAAAAAACCATAACAGACCCAAAACGGAACTACCTTGGAGCCCCTGGGTAGGGCTAAGGCGGCATGAACAGATTTAGAGCTCGGGGTCGGCCTATTGGGCTTACCCATAGGGCCATAGGGTTTAGGGTTTAGGGCTAGTCTCCATTGTAGTTCCTTTTTGGGATACCTTATAGAATCCTTATAATATATAGTTGGTTAAACCCAAAAAAGGAAGTACAATGGAGACTATAGGTATGAAGGATAGGAGAAATAGCGTGAAGGGCCACCTCTTCTGCTACAAGTCACTTGAATACGGTTTGGGGCTGTGCACGCGGCACAGGAACTCTTTTAAGCATGCAAGAGCGCGCGTATTTTAGGTGGCAATACCTACAATCAGGAGTATGACATCTTCCCACGGTTGAAGGTCTTTGATTAAACCCTAAAACCTAAACCCTAAACCCCCATCCATCAGTCTTATTAGAACGAACATCCCACGGCCAGGCAAGGGACCATTTCATGGACGCCCAGAAATCCGTCTGCCACTTGAAGCAGGCATCCTGGCTTTGGGGTTTAGGTTTTTTGAAAGGCATCGAGTTTCGGGCTTGTGGTGAACCCAATAGGGGCCTCCCGGACTCTTTGCTTTGGGAGCTCCGGCGTGCTTCTCTTTCGTGGGTCGTTGGGGTTTAGGATATCCGGAGAACTCCTTCATGGATTCCGTCTGCACATAGTCGCTGCATCTTCGTAGAAAAGCCAGCGAAGTGATACACCTCAGCTTACAGCAAATTCTCATCCCTGAGCCCTGCTAGTGAGGCTTCACGACGATGTATACCCAAGATCCTCATCTTATTTCCTTAGCGGCTTTTTGCTCTTGCCCGATGTTGCCTTTACTGCTGAATGCTTCTAAGTGCCTGCTGGGAGAGTGATATCACCGTGATATGTTCATCCCTATAACAATAGTTGGCTCAAGCACAAGGAATCGCCGCGCGCCTTGCTCTCGCCCGTGGTTCAAGACTAGTTTCCTTCTTGCTGACAGTACTTTACAGCGTTGCAAAGATATGTGGCCACTCGGAACTCGATGTTCGATGAAAGGAAATCATACCGCTTGTTTACTGTTGAGGGTTTGGGGTTTGGGAGTTAGCGGATTTCGGGAAAGCTATTGTGCAGTAGAGTTTTAATAGGGGTTCTGGTAACCTGATTCCTGACCCTGCCAAGGCACTGATTCGTGCTATTGCACCACCCGCAGCAAGAGTGTGAGCAAGCCTCAAAGCCTTGCCAGCGCGGAGTTGGGGCAGTGGTGTGTCGGCCCATGTATCTATACGCCCTACCTCCTAAAGGCATGGACGTACGCCTCGGATCTAAAAACAATTGATCGTTTCAAGCTCTAGAAAAACCGAATTCGTGTCCTGGTATCGGGATCAGAGCCCCACAGAAAGGGTGCTGTCAGAAAGGTATATAGGTCCTAGCATGTTCATTTTATAGGTTGATGATCAATAGAAAGCCCCCTCCGATGTTTGCACAAACGCCGATCGAATTGGGCCTTCTCGCCGCTTGAACCTCCAAAAATGGATTGGTCTCTGGCGGCATCCCTTCTATAATTTTCACTTCGGGGATCATCGCCCTGTGCGGGACCATAAGAGTTCGGGGTGTTTTAGGGTTTAGCCCTCTGTAATTTGGGGGCTTCAGCAATAGAATAGGGATCCAAAAAAACCAACGAATATGTATAAGGAGCCCTAAGCACCTCAATTAGAATAGGGTGTTGAGAGGCCCATTCTACTATAAATATAATAAGGANNCCCCCCCCCCCCCGAAATAGTACTGGCAATTGCTTAGGCCCCTTCATTAAGGCTTTTCGCAGGCAGGATCCGGCGACCAGTGCCGCTGGGAAACTCTCATGGTCTCCACAAAGCGGTGGCAGAGGTAAGGCCATGGCCCAGGGGGCAAAATCATAAACCTACAAACCAAATGTCAACTGAAACCGTTAACTCAGGTTTGTCTGTTTAGGGCTCATGGGGTTCGTAGGCAAGGAAACTCAATTAAGCTGGGATCTGAGGGTTGCCGGCTAACCAATGCAGTCAGAATTCATTTGGGGTTTGCTTTGCTCTTCATTGCGGGTTCTCCCGCTGGTGGTTGTAAGGGCCTGGGATTTGGCGAATCTCTAAAACACTCAAGGGTCAAAGGGTAGAAGTCGGCCTTTTCCTCCAAGGCTGCCTTGTCACATTTGAGGGCGGCTACTAACGACGATAGAAGCACTGTAGCTATCGTGTCTACGGCCCTATGCGCGCACCTACTCATGTGGCAGAATCGTCGGTTGCATGTGCTCTCTGTATAAGAAACCGCTCTCATGATGACAATGGGTTTAGGGTTTAGGGTTTACGGTTTAAGGAACTGTGCGTGCATCTCGGGCTCTACGCAGTACACCTGGCCTTGGGCCCAGCCCGAGACCAAGCGCCTAAATTCGCTCTCCGAAGCCCCCGGGCCCTAAACCCTAAACCCCCAAACCCTAAACCCCCAAACCCCTAAACCCTAAGCCGGTGCATCTCCAAGCATTGATCGGGCAAAGCAGAGGCGGCGAAATCAAGATTCAGATCTCGGATTATATATATATATATATAGATAGTCCGATACGCCTGTTGTGGGTCAGAGGCTCCCTGCTCTTGTTGGGTTACATGCGGGATTCCCGAATTGAGGGCCCGTTGAGTGGAAGGCCCCTGCTCCAGAACCACCTTTGTATTCCCAACTTAGGATATGCAGGCTCCACCGTGAAAGCCAGTGCACCTGCTCAAAAAGAGTTGGGTTTCTGAAGAAGACTGGAGATTCGGACATAATGGACCACGGTCACAAAGTCGCAAAACAAAGCTGCATGACAAGGTCCTCATTCCACAGACCTCAAGAGCATCACCACAAATGCAGGGATATCGGACCCTATGACTGACCGATGCAAGCCTTCCGCGCAACACATCATTGAAACATCATATGTGCATTATACAGAACCCTGAACCCTATCCCCCCAAATCCTAAACCCTGGCTCCTAAATTTAAGGTTTCCTGAAGTGTCGGCTACACAGAGCTCAGGGGGGGCGGCCTCCAAGGCAGAGATGGACTTGGCCTTCAAGCCTCTGGCATATAAGAGTGCATATAACATAACATAGCATAACACAATACAATGCAATATATCATATGGTTTAGTCCAATATGGTATATGTAGCGTAAGATATATTGAAATATTTCATATAAAGCTGTAGGAATTATATGGCTGTTTAGGGTCTCGGGCTAAAGAGTTTAAAGTATGCGGTTCTGCTTAAACAGATCAGTTATGTACTCGTGTATGTAACATGTTAAGACCAAGAACACAGGTGCGACTTCTGTGTGGCAGGTCTTGGCTGAAGTCTTTTCTAAATTGAACTAACTACTTCTGGCATCAGAAGGTTCGGGAGCTGCAAGGAACACCTGTGATGCGCACTATATCACCAGGGTGCCTCGATCGAGTCTAGAGTCTTCATGTTGCTCTTACGCCAGCCGGTACGACCTCTTTAGCTGATGTCGATCGACTGCTCGTGACTTGGCAGGCCCAAGCATTCTTGTTCGAAAGACCGAACTGAAGCCTTTCACGAGCATGATCCCTTCTTCGCCATACATGTATGATGTTGAGCCCTCGAACAACCACATGATTTATTCAAATGAATGTAGAGATACATAATCAACATCTACTGGTTCATCATGCCATCAGAACCGCCAAAGATGCTGCTAATTATGATGCACACAGGTCTTGCTGTTCCAGAGGTCAACACACGCGCGCTGAACGAAAGAACTTACAATGGGAAACGGGCTTGCTGTGGCAAGCTGGGCAACCCATCACCACTAAATCTGTCGCTTGTGGCGCCGGAACTGTGCAACACTACATGCAGAGTTTAAGATGTTGCCTCCTGTGCCGCTCTTGACAACATCATGACCATGAATTCGATCGCGGCTTCTAGGAACTAATTGGGCTGTACAGTGCAGGGACAAGCCAAAGGTCGGGGCAAAGGCCTTTAAAGCTTTACCATCAAAGTAAAACAAGTTCTCATTTCGAGAGGGATTGCTCGCGCAACCACCCACTCCCATATCGCGTCTGCAAGGCAAGCGGCCGTCCAGGCATGGGCACTCCGTGCATCGGGACATTCCAAGGCCTCGCCGGGCGGGGGAAGGTGATAAGACACAGTAACCCCAAAGGGTCCAAGTACCATTATAGTAGGTACTTAGTAGGTATTTGGGCCCCCAAAGTATATACTATACCAGTACTTGGACCCTTTGGGAACATTCTTCGGCGCCGTGGATGTGGCCAGTAGCAGTAAGTAGCAGTGGCAGTATTCGCAGCTGTGTGACAACCAATGGAGAGCCAACAAAACCCTAAACCCTAAACAATTTGAGCGGTGAGGCCAAACGGAATCCGGGGCTCTGAAGGCTTTGTCTCCGGGCCCCAAATCACCCGAGGCCGTCGAAACCCTGAGTCCTTCGGCCTTTCTGTTTGTTCAGACTTCGGGTTTGGCTGGAGGCCAGGGCAGTGTACGGGATTCTGGCACTTCGGTTTAGGGTCTAGGGTTTATAGGGTTTAGGGATCTAACTTGAATCGGTATTCTGGCATTTCTGGGTTTTTCAGACTAAGAGGGCTTGTCACAAATCACTGGAACCACCAGTCTTTCCAAAGCAGGACCCGAAACCTAGTTGTTTCAAAACCCTGTACACAAACCATGCGAAACTCCACAGATTGCAGATTGCCTTCTTCACAAACTGAAAACCTCTGGAAATTTGATAGATAAAGCTCCGCAGCGCTCGGATGAGGAATTAGCGGCTACAATGCAGCCGGGTTCGGCGTCTGCGCCTTGGAACGGTGGGCCCACTTGGCTCCTGTTGCAGGTCACAGGCTTGGGCTTTTGGAGGCTCAGGTATTCCACTTGCTCTGCCCCGCTTCTTCACCGTACCCCACCCTAAACTCAAAAGTGAGCGGCTGACGGAAGCCTCAATCCTAAAGCCCTTATCCTCAAAGGCTCTAAAACCCTGTACCTTTCCCCAAAGCTCCAAACCTCAAAAAGACACATTACAAAATGAAGGGGCTTGAGATCAGGTTTGACGGGGTGATTTGAAGACATCGGAAGTGGCGTAGCGTATAGGTTTCTTTTGGTTTAGAGGCTTAAGTCCTGCAACTTTCTGCTGCGCTTTGGATATCTGTTAAAGCGAGTGAACAAAATTAGAGTAGAATGCTGTGATTTTCAGGTGCCTGAGTTGTTCTGACCTAGCCCCGTTGAAGCTTAACTTGTGGGGTCGGGGCACGCCATGGTACAAGTATATACGGACGGAAAGGAACCATTCCTGTGGATTGTAGTCTTAGTTGAAGCCCCAAAAGTTGGAAAACCAATGGCCTCAATCCTTAACAGGAACGTATAGGGAATCCCAGCACTAACTGTCTTAAATCCAGTTTCCAACTTGTTGGGGGGCTTACTGCACTGCAATTACTACACGACCAATAAAAAGGAACTGGGGTCCGGTAGTGATCGCTCCTCTGCATCGTCAAGCAGGAACATCGCCGCAGCATGTTCCACCCAGACCTCTTCGTGGCGCTTATAGACTTATATAACTTATATAGTGCTTCAAACATGTTTAAAAGCTTCACTGCTTTCTTCGTTTTTGGAGTTCGAGCCTTGGGTTTTTTTAAAGGACTCAGAGTTAGAGTCGGTGGAGGTTAACGGGATTTGATCTTCGGGTGCCCCAATGGGCAGCAGCCCAGACAGCTCGTCTGGGGCTCCGGTGTATTCGCAACATTTTCAGTGTGTGGGGTGTGAGGGTCTAGGGTTCACGGATTCAGGGCTTGGAGCTTCGGGGAAATATGTTCAGGTACATTGGGGCATATCCACCCACTCCTGCAAACGGCCTGGCAGACCGTCACCAGCAGGTGGTTTCACATTTAGGGCTTCACATCGCATGCGAAACGCATCGCAAGAAATACGGCCGTGCGTTCTGTGATTCCAAAGCTGAACCGTCTGAATGCCTGAACAAGCAAATCCGACACTCAAAACAAGATCCAAGCTCTTTATCAATATATCCCGATCTGCACCAGAAGAGAGGCGCTCCCAACGTAGATCCGAAAAATGCTCCCCGGATCTCCCTGGCATATACTATAAGAACCTCTAGTGGAAGAACCCCGTCCCCAGTGCCAGATATCCTGCGATGCGGCCGCAACCCCCCAAACCCCAAACTCTAAAACCCATCTAAACCCGAAGCCCTCTAGACTCTTTTTTTGAGCAGGGCTGCAGCGCACATTGCCCTGATCCTTCAGCTGCCGCAATTTTTGCACTCTCAGCAAAAAAACGTGCGATCAGTCAGTTGAACTGTCAAGGCGCCGGCACCGTTCTTCACGTCTATTCAATTTAAACCTCCAAACCCGGAACACTAAACCATTCTAAACCAAGAAAAAACACTAAAAGGCCCTTTTGCCCGGACCCGAAGCCACGAACAGCTGGAGGCAGCCTCGATGGACGCACCAACGATGTCTGGAAGCTGCCCGGATTCGGCTCCTTAGCTAGTTCCGGTTTAGGGTTTTCTGACACTCACACTCGGACAAGCCTGGCAAGGTCCGTAGCGATACTGGGGTTTACACAGAACCAAAGACGGCCAGGCTAATGGAACCAGAAACCCAACGTGCAAACCTTACATGTTACTATCCCACATGTGTCTTGTCGCTTCGGACTAGAAGAAAGCCCTGTCCATAGTGGTGTCGTGGGCTTCTTTATCAGAATGTTAGGGCATTGGGTCGTATGTGCAGAGGCCGTTCATGATGAAACTTAATGTCTGCTATACGGGGCATCTTCTCAGCGCTTTGCAATATTTAGCAAGGGTTTAGGGTTTAGTAAGGGTTTAGGGTTTAGGGCATAAACACTGGAAAAAAGAAGCCAAACTGGGCTGACTCTGACTTGTCTCTCGTGGTCCTTTGCTAATATACTGGGACACAAAACGCATGCCTGATTGATTATGAGTCTTTTGCTTCAATGGCTTTAGGAGCTGGTTGACAGAACTGTTTCCCATCTTGGCCGAGTCGGCCGGGAGGGAGGGGGCTTGTGGGATGTCTTATCGCTGTGGAGCCCTGGTTAACACATACCTTTCTTTATGCACCCTAAAATTACAGGGCTGCGGCGCCGAAGCTTCTTGTCACCAGATTCGGCAAAACCCTATGGAGCTCGCAAGCTGCTGTTTCCCGAAACCTGAAAAACAAAACCCACATACTGAAACCGCCAACACCCACACGCACATGCGCACGGCCCCGATGCTGACTTCCGGGCCAAGGCCCTTGCTGGCGCTGTCAATGGCGTCGCGGAGAGCCTGTGGAAACTGCTGTGTTTCGACACCTCAAAATTTATAACCCTACTTCCCAAAAGGCCCAAAAGTTCTAGAGCCTCAGGACTCCAACCTCGCCGCCAAGACCCTGAAGCCTCTGTGGCAGCTCGCACCTGCTGCTCCTCCTGGTCGGCATCCGGTGCCTGGCACAAGGGCATCTAACCGAACGGCAGAAGACCTTCCGGATGAGGCTTGCGAGTTCAAGGGGTTTCAAGTAAAAGGTGCTCCCCCAAAACCCCAGCTCTGCAACATCCCATGAAATCAACCCTAAACCCTAAACTCTAAACCCTAAACCCTGAACCCTGAACCCTAAACCCTAAACCCTAAACCCTAAACCCTAAGCCCGAAGCCCTAAACCCTAAACCCTAAACCCTAAACCCTACACCCTAACTCTGCA